AATATTTCACTAAAAAATTATTTTTTTATGTGAAAGACTTGTAATGTTTACCGAAAGTCTGCCAAATTTTATGAAGATATACATATCATATTAAAAGTTCAAAACTATACAGACTTTAAGCAAGTATAAAGGGGTCATGCAGTTGGTCAAATCACCCGAGCCCGTGTTGAGAGGTAAAAGGTTAACCCTAGTTGAAGACAATGCAGCAATTCCAGGATTTTATGGCCAATATACATGAATGCCAGCATCAGAAATAATGTTTAGAACATCCATTGAAGATGTCTGATATTGGCATTTGGTTAACTCTAGCCATAAATGACCAGCCAAGTGATCCTGATGTGGCCGCTCCAGGATGTCCTATTTACAAGAACTAAAGACCAAAGTACTGTGTGGTATTGATGTAGGCATGTAGCCCAGGTACCTCTAATTCATCACAATAATCTCCTCCCCTTCAGAGATCGACAAACAAATGGGAAGATGTCTGGATCGCAGAGAAAAACTGTAGAAGTAGGTTCCCCTGAGTGAGAGGAAAAACACTGAATGGATAAACCCTTTTAAGACCAGCAGTTTACGGAAAGTTTGAGCATTACAGTTATAAAATATCACTGCTTTCTTCAAACTGAAACCATAACCCAAATAAAAATAATGTGAAAATACAGTTTAACCTCAAATCTGATTTTTACAACCAAGAATAAGTTGTTCTATTGCCAGGAATTATATGTATCCAGAATATCTCAATACTGTTAAATGTTCTAATGCTGTTTGCTAATAATAACAATATTAATAGCTAAAAAGTAATGGCCACTGAAAGTAATGAAAACCAAACATTTTATGCTGATTCTTCCAAGTTTCTGAATCTAAATAAACCTAATTTTCTAGTTAGAAACCTAATATCAGGTTATTTGTTTTTCCACATTCTATATTCCACATGTATATGTCACTGTTTTCGTTATTGAATGTGTTGTGAAATTTGATCACTTGAATGAAGTTGCCAGGCCTTTGTTACATGATCACAACTAGCATATTTTTTGGAACATACTGTTTAATAGTTTCTCTTCAACCCCATAACTTAGAAACTCCAATTTTTTTATTCCTTCAGCTAATTACATTAGTATTTTTTCTTGACATACAAGAACATTTTCACTCAAGACTGTGGGTTGTTAGTTCTATGGCAACCATCGTTATGGTAAACCACAGCAAACACTAGAGGTTAGAGTCACACATCTCATTCAC